CCCCGAGAGTCCCCCCCCCCCCCCCCCACACACACACACACACACACACACACGCGCGCACACACTCTGCCTGCCCCCAGGCACTGCAGGGAGGTGGGGGAATGGGTGCAAGTGCTAAGCCGGAGTGCAAGGCTTCCACGGTTCCCAATCTCCCTCCTGGCCCTGGTGCATCTGTAGTGAGGCAGCATCCCACCACCAGGCACACCTGCACTGGGCATGCAAGCCAGCATTGGGGACCCTCCTCCTCCAGGGACCCCTTGCATGGGAGCGGGGAAGAGGGCACACCCTCACACTTCCACGACCTGTGTACAGCAGCGTGGGGAAACCCCTGCCTCCACGATCCAGATTGTGTGGGGCTTGCACTCAGTCCTGGCTGCTTCTCCCACAAAAGCTCCCAGGCAGCAGTTCCCTCCACTCTGTCTACTACTGGGTACTGCAAATAATACTCTGGCATGCATCAATGAAGCATCTCCAGCAAAACCAGGATTCTTCTGCTCTAGTCAGCACTGGTGAAACTGCAGCTAGAGTACTGCATCCAGTTCTGGGCACCACCACTTTACAAAGACTTGGACAAGCTTGAGAGAGTCCAAAGAAGAGCCACCCATATGATCAGAGTCTTACATGACAAGCCATATGAGGAAAGGCTAGGACTCTTCAGCCTGAAGAAAAGAAGGATGAGAGAGGACCTGGTAGCAATTTACCGCTACACTAGGGGAGTGCATCAAGGGCTCGGGGCCGGGCACCCGAGGGGAAAACTAAGAGTAATGACCACAAACTCCTGGAAGACCGATTCAGGATCACCATCAGGAAAAACTTCTAATGTACAGGCATGCACTATACATTTTTAGGTATCCAGATTGTAGCCATATTGGTCTAGAGGAAAAAGTAATCAGGTCTTATGGTAGAGGTGATATCTTTTATTAGACCAACACGATTTTTGCAACAAAAAAAAATCTTTAATTGAACTTCCATTTCTACCCAGGAGAACTTTCACAATCTTTTCTCTGGTGACTGATGAAGGCTGTTTGTTTTGGAAAGCTTGCAATTAAAGATTTTTTTTTTTTGCAAAAATCTTGTTGGTCTAATAAAATATATCATCTCTAGTGATTGCTATACATTATTGTATTTTTAGTCACTGTATTTTTTCCCCTTCAATTTATCAGTATCTTTTTTGTGTAACCCTAATTCTTCCCTTCAATTTATCAGTATCTTTTTTGTGTAACCCTAATTCTTTTCTAAATAGGGCATAAAATTTCAAACTTTCTGCTGCTGACTGAATTGAGTAGCTTTTAGACTAAACAGTGCTCTGCCTCCTCAAGCGTAAGTGATTTCTCAAAACTACCTGACTCATGATGCCCTGTCAAGACAGATTTGGAAACTGCAGTTTGGATTTTCCTTTCTTTATCTTGCCTTACTCCCACCCAAAAATAGTGCATAATTGTGGGAGAAAGTAGTATAGATAACATAAATGAGTTTCATTTCAGGGATGGAGGTTGGTTTGGGTTTTTCTGAGTTTTCTGAAGAATGAAAATGTGAGGCTTTTTAAAAGATGACACAGAAAAGCAAAGCCTACCATGTGAAGGATTAGATACCCAGCTCTCCAGACCTGTGACTAAATTTACTTAACATCTGTCAGAATGCATAATTTCCTTTTCATTCTGTTGTTTTGTTTGGTTTTTTTTTTTCATTAAATTATATCTGCCTGTTTTTCAAAGTGGTCAAAAATGTCCTGGTTTAATCAGTCAAGGACGTTTCACCACAGTATATGTCTATTACTTATGAACTAATTTATCATATAGTCCTCAGTGATAGTTTTGTTTAATTTCAGAATTGCAGGATTAAAAAATCTGAGCATCAAGTGACTTTGATGTTTTTATGCAGTGCAATAGATACAAAAGCCAGGAGACATTTAAAGGCATGCAGACATTTAAGTGCATTCCTAAATCTAGCCTAATTTAAACATACTGATAAGACTGAACTTTGGTTCTCTGTTGAGTTTAAGCATGCCTTGAGAATGGTATGTTTTCACATGTTGACAAAAATATTCAGTTATTTTGCTGATTCTAAGCATGCACTATTTAGAGCAGAACTTTTCAGTCAGTAGTAAATGATGCTCTAACCAGCAGGTAAAGGAGACAAACAGCTTATAGATGGAGCAACACTAGTTCTTGATAACTGAGTTAGCAGTTTACTTCGCCAACAGTGCCCCACTACAGAGAAAAAATCAGTGCAATGAATGCATGCTAGAGTACACAGAGTGTGGACAGATGTAACACTTAGAACATTCTAAATATGTTTAGAAGCTAAAGGAGCAGAACTACCAGCTCTTGTGGGTAATATGTTGCATAGAAATAGGTTTAAAAAAATCTCATCCCCAGACCAAGAATAAGCTAAGGTACAAAAAATGTTGAATGAGGAGTAATTGACCTAGGCCTGTGAACCTGTCTCTTGTGGAGCAGGCTGAAGGTAAATGAGATTATTGACTGGGTAATGAGGAACCCCAGCCGCTGAGCTAAGAAGCAGAAATCAGCTGACTGGCAGGGGTGGGAGTGGTCAATATATACGTTTTCCTCCAGGATAGAGGACATGCTGGTCCTCGGTACTGGGGGGAAGCCAGTGGGAAGCTGGTACTGCTGCTACAGGGATGGACAGGCATTGGCGCCATGTAGGGGGTGCAGTCAAGTGCACGTGCACCCTCTGAGATTGACTGTGCACCCTCTGGAAATGTCAGCCACAAAACCGAAGTATCAGCAGAAGTGCACTTCCAGTTTCACCATTGGTGATTTTGAGCTCGGCGATCTCCCATTGGTGATCTGGTGCCTCCCCCCGAGATTTGGGAGGCAGCAGTGGCCCATGTGGGCAGGAATAGCAGCCCTGGTTCTGTGCCTGCTACAGGGCTGGGCTGACTGGGCTGTAGGGGAGGAGTGGCAGGGTGTGCAGGAGGGGGAGGGCAGGCTCTGTCCTGGCTTGCGGCCAGAGCCACAGCAGCTGCCAGCCCCCATCCTTGCTGCCTCGTGCTTGATCATAAGGGTTTTCCCCCCATGTTAAATGGTGGGGGGGACCTCATCTTCTCTAATCTACTCAACATAGTGGTAGGGCCAGGAGACTTGGTAAATGGAGACTGAGTCAAACTTATAAGGCATGGGATATGACATTGGGAAAGCTGGAGCCCATGATTAGGTCCAGTAAGGAAAGAGAAATCAGAGACAAAGAGCTGGTGGATGAGAGCGGTCTGAGAATTGCACCACCAGACTCCCCACTAATATCTAGGAAGGTTGTCCTAGAATCTTAAGTTTACATCAAGGTGTGACAGGCAAGTGTAAAGGAAGATCATAGGGAGCATCTGGGTCAGATATCTAAAGAGGTTTCAACATCAACTCCTGGGTCTCTATTCCCCAATCGTCAATAATAAAAAGTGAGAATCTGATAAGGATCTATTGGCAATTTCCCTTTCAGCCAAAGCTTTGTGATCCTATGAGCAGACAGGAGGAAGTGTCTCTTGACTGTGAACAGAGCACAGGATGCGGGCAGGGCTAGCAGGGGAAAGGGGCAGAATCTTTATTTCGGGGTGGGGGGGGTATTTTTTGTTTTTTGTTTTGTTTTTTTACCACCAATAATGGTGGAGGCCAGGGTAGCTGTCAGCATGA